TTACTTATATGAAAAAATTTCATTTCGAACCGATGTTCATATAATCAATATTCGATTTAAAGGTATTTTAACACCACCAATTCACCATCATGAATTCTTTAAACGGTCCTTCAGTTACCAAATTGGCTACGTGTACAACGGTATTCCAAACGAAATTAAAAAATGAATGCGATTAGTTTTAAGTACTACTATAAGAATGTTTTGTGAGAGCAATAAACTGAATAATACATTTCAGATCCCTAAGTTGTTAGGAGTCCCTATTATTGTTTTTTTTTTCAAATTCTGTATTATAGGCATATTCCACAATGTTAAGCTTGTGTGGGGTTAAGTGGTGGAACAAATCAGTAATTTTGAATTATTTGAATTTCGCCTTTGACGTCAGCCCTAGGATCATTAATGTTCCAAATGTAAAAAAAATCTATATGTATCCTAGATTGACAGAATAAAGACACATTATTATTATTATTATTATTTCACCGTAGTGTGCGCTGGTCAGGCCATATGCCCCGAAGCCCCGATACATTCCTCTATTTTTTTTTTTTTTTCACCGTAGTGTGCGCTGGTCAGGCCCTATCCCCCGAAGCCCCGATACATTCGGGAGGGCGCGCCAGCATAATCAACCAATGACCACTCCCCACACCGTGGGGTAAGTGATCATTGGGTCCGAGAATCATGTGCCCTGAGCAAACGCAGTGAGCCAAGAATGACAGCCTTCTGCATCTGTGCGGCTAAGATTTCTGCCTTAGTGCGGCAAGCCGGTATGATTTTGAGATTCGAGAGTAGAGAAGACATCATTCCACCAAGGACTCCAATAATCAGAACGACCATCTTGACAGAGTGATCTGGATAGAGTCTGCGGAGTTCGAAGAGAAAATCTCGATATTTTATCCGTTTTTCCTCCTCTTTTCTGACGATATTCGTCTCGCCAGGAGCTGAAAACTCCACGACAAATATCGTTTTGGTCTGGTGGTCGAGAAGGACTACATCAGGCTTATTAGCTTGTATGAGCCTGAGGGTGGGGAACGAATAGTTCCAATAAATTCGGCACTTCTCGTTCCCCACAACGGATTCAATATCCCCCGGAGCGTAGGGCAACACCGGTGTATACCGTAAGAGTGCCGTAGATGGTAATATAGCACTCTTAGGGCCGCGTAATGTCGATGGATATAGGCCGAGACCGCATATGCCGAGACCGCATTCCTCTATTATTATTATGTTCGCTGATGTTTTCAAAGTTTATATTATTATAAAAACAATTTGAATTTGAATATTTTTTACAACTGCAGAGTGTGAATATGTACTGTGGAAAAAATTTGCAAAACTATTCACGATCCCATCTGGAGAATCAATAGTGAAGCCATCATACCTGGAATACCTACGGTAGGTTCTATTCTTGGAATGTACGTATGACTACAATGAGGATTAGATACTACAGATTCTTGTATAGAATTTAAATAAATATCATATGCAGCTTTGATCTGGTTTTTGATGACAAGTCTAAGGCTCTTGAATTTATAATTGTACTGCAAATTACGAGTTTTCTTGTACTTCTCGTGTAGTTCAGTTTTTTTGCTATTGCAAATAATCTCGGATGTATACCATTTGGGATATTTATGTTTGAAGACTTTGGAAATAGGATCATGTGAATCAATAATATTATATAAGACATCATAGAAATTACCAACAGCTAAATTCATATCATCACAATTCCGAAGGAAAGACCATTTCGTGGAAAATAGCGCATTACTATAATGAAGGATAATTGGCTCGTTTGAAATTATAATTTTATTGGTTTTGTTTATCATTTGAGTTAAAACTAGTTTCGCTTATCAAAAAATTATTAAAATTAATAATTAAAGCTGGATGATGAGGCATATCTTCAGGAACCATTGGAGCTCTGTCTCTTGTCACCTCACATTTCATATTGGATATGATCAGATCCAAGATCCTATTCGAGTCATTAAAAATATTATTTAATTGATTCATATTCGAATAGTTAATCATATAGAGAGCGTGGGACTTGTTATCAAGAGCGGAGACACATACAAAGTTAGGAGCATTGAAGTCACCAATCAAAACTACATTTTTGGTCTGCAAAATTTCTAGTTGTTCTAATGATTCACAAAATAGTTCGTAAGTCTCAGTGCTCACAGATGGTGGAATATAGATAACACACACAAAATGAAGTGTGCTTTAAAAAGCATCTATATATAAGCAAATCAATAATGAGATCGCGGTGGAGTGCTTCTCGTTGAACCTGAAAAGGAAGTGTTAGAAAATTATACTTACAAGAGCCGCCGGCAGCGACTCTCGGGGATGGTCTATGGTTCTGCTTCGGAAATACAAAAATGCGGTGTGAACAATATCGACTTTATGTTTTGAAGTTAGGCCGAAAGACGCCTGTTCACAACTATAGCATCTAATGTCAGAGGCGGCTTTTACCAAAGGGACTGCGCGTTCACAAGTAAACATCGGCGGTAACGGCAAAATAAAATTGTACGGTAAGGCAGCGGTAGCTTTGTCTCGAGCAGCAGCCCATTTATGTTGGCTTGAAAAGTATGCCAATAATTTGAAAGAACAAAATATACTGTGGTGGGTGGCGACTAAATTCGGCTGCGACTCGTGAATTGTGATACGCCGCGTCAAAACGGTCGACCAGAGAGAGATGTTTTGAATTTGTTTCTAATTTCTTGCGGAATCCCTAGAGGGGTATCGCGAGACCCTAAGGTTCCGCGACAAACTTACCGATACAAGTAATCATGGAATTACCAGGAAGCTGTGTACAAAACTGCTACTTCCAACTGAAGGACGAATTCTTTACGCAAGATGAGGGACTGCCAATGAAATCGCCACTTTCACCGGTTAAAGCCAACATATATATGGAGTGGTTTGAAATTCTGGCCATGGAAGAAGCCCACAAGAAGCCCCGAGTTTTGTTAAGATACGTGAATGACACCTTCATAATATGGAACCATGGAAATGCAGAACTAGACACTTTCCTGAAGCACACCAACAACGTAAGTTCTTCCATCACTTTCACAATGGAGAAGTAAGTCCACAACGAATTACCATTCTTAGACGTATTGGTGAGGAGAACCGACACTGAATGGGAGACATCTGTATACCGAAAGTCCAGTCACACGGGACTGTATCTGAATCAGGAATCCAACCACCATCAATCGACTAAGAGAGGAATCATCAAGACTCTAATAGACCGTGATTTCGGGCTCTATAATACAAAGGAAGGTCTCGAAAAGAAACTGGGCACCATCAAAAATGACCTTCAATGGAATGGTTACTTCAAAGTGATGGTGGACAGACTTTGGCTATAAGACAGCAAGAACCTCACAAGGATGAGAAGCCGCCACAACCTGTTCTTGTACTTCCCTACATTAGAGGATTATCGGAAAGGATAAAAAGAATTGGGTTCAAGTATGACATCAGAACCCACTTCAGATCTGGGAACACTATCCGTAACAGCCTCACGAAAACCGGGCCACCAAACGCGGACTGTGATTCCAAGAATTGCATTTACCGGATATCCTGCTAGTGCGGAGAGTCATACATCGGTGAAACTAAGAGGCCATTGAAAGTTCGCATTGCCGATGAAGCGGATGTAGGGATGAGGAGATAGGTGAAAGAACTCGAATGACCTATAAATAGTCAGATCTTGGAGGAATAAGTCCATCCCACCATCAGTCATAACCCATTTGTCCCTCTGACAAACATCAGTTGAAAAGGTAAGGGAACCAGGCTCCAACCTGAACGAAGCCAGGACGACTTTTCATTGGAATAAGTCCAGTTATCACCCAAAGACGATTGTGGATACTAACAAACGAAACATCGTGAAGTAACTTGGCTTGGAATCTTTTAGTAATTAATTTTTTTTCTTGTTAATAATTTTTAATTTTCACCTCGTGTTAATAATTCAATTTTTTGATTGTTGCTTGTATTTTATTTTATTGTAATTTCAGTTTTTCTGCTTAATATAATTGTTTTTTTCAGCTGATCTTTTTTATTTTTTTATAGATTCTTTCAGGGATTTCGAACGTGTTAATTACAACCCTCTCATTCGTAAATTATTATTCATCCTTAAAAATTTCCACAGAACATTTTTTTCTTCACTTCGGATTAGAAAATTATAATTGGTCAAGGGGTCTAAGGGATGTTAATTTGAACCCTCTCATTTGAAAATTATCATTTCCCATGAAAAATGTTCTGGGGCCACAATTTTTTTTTAAAATACTATATCTGCGTGCTCACTTTTTATTGTGAAATTTTGTATGCCCGACGGAATTTGGGGTGATGATTTCATTCCCAACGAATAAAAATCGAAGTTACCACTGAAATAGTTTCCAATCATACGAATAATTTCAAGAGGGAATTGAGTTGGTGTTGTGGAAATATTTAGGAACGCACGAAAAACTTTTTGCGGAATAATCATTTTATTGTTTTCAAAACGAAAATAACTTCAGAATATTCTGTGCAAATTCAGTGAAATTCAAAAAATATTTTGGTGGAAATTTCGATTTTCATTTGTAATGGATTGGATTTACCTCTCTAAGTTTCCTCAGGCAGTCAAAATTTTTCAATGAAAATTAATTAAATCAGTTGTTGGTATTCTGTACAAAGCTACTATTGAAAATCATCGGTAGAAATTATTCCCTGTTGAAGGCGAATGGCGCATAATGAATCCGTGAATGTCATAATACATTCAGACATGTTCAAAATCACTGGTGATTAGGTTACTGGTAGGAAGAACAGGCAGCACTGAGTTAGTAAGAAAAAATGTGTATAAAGAGTTAATGCTAGCGATCCAGGGAGACTAGCGCTAACCAATATCATCGTCTGAATGATAACATACGGACGGACTTATAGACAGTCAATATTAAAACCATACCTTCATACCTAGTTCTCGATGAAACATTTGAAACATTTTTGTCAAGGTTGAATTTTTTACAGTACTCAGCAGAGAGTAATCACTTTTTATTTATTTTCAGTATTGCCAAACCTATCAATTGGCGGTGTTCACGCTGGATGAAACTGGTGACACAGTATATGAAAGTCTAACAAAAACTAAAAGGATAAAATTTGAAAGGACATGGTCGTTCTACGCAATTCATAGTAGTATATATCCTGTCATTGAAAGGGTACTGGAGAGTAAGAATATGAAAGTAAAATGTGCCTTTTCAGCTTATACTTACAGCATTCCAAAAGAGGAAGCAATACTTTTCAATATAGAGTAAGTAACTTTGTGAAAAAATTGAGAAAGTTTTCCATATGGAATATTTCTAGAAAACAGTAGTCTGATTTTAGTCATGAATAACTATACTAAAAACTGCCAAATAGTTAATATGATTTGCGAATAATGACAAACCGTTATTACATAATTTACATGGCCATACTGGCTTGGAGGGCAATGAAGCTGCTGACTTCCTTGCAAAGGAGATGCTACAAAAGTAGCTTCATCGGACCAGAATCTGTCATTGGCATCGCTTTAGGCTTTGCCAAACAAAAATTAAACACCTGGATGCAGAATCTTCCAGGATTTGCACACTCTAAGGCGTTTGGTATTAAGCTTCGAAGCTTAATACCAAACAGTTGTTGGACTACAGTAGGGATGAACTACGATGTCTAACAGGCCTTCTTACAGGTTACTGTCATTTTAATTGTCATATGCAGAGACTCGGACTATCGGAAGACAGTGTGTGTCGCCTCTGTTTGGAAAATGATGAAACAGCAGAGCTTATCCATTGTGCCTGCCCCGCTGGGGACCGAATCAGGTTTTTAGAGTTCGGCAGAGCCGTATTCTTACCATCTGATCTGAAAGACCACTCACCATACAAACTAATCGGCTTCGTTAAGAAGCTGGGTTTATTTGGTCGAGTGTGAATAGGTGTGAGCCACAATAAACCCTTGCAGGTTGCGGTGGAGGGTCGAATAGACGCACTCACTTTGGACCTAAGCTAACCTACATAATTCACAACTTTATCTTCTAATTGATAATCTGAAAATGCAAAAGAATCATATGTTAAGTGGAAGAATAATCGTGCTAAGTAAATGAAGACCCATTATTAATGAAGCTAATGAAGCAATTAGTCCTAGCAAAAGTATAATTGATTCAGCATTAATTTTCAAAGTCAAAGCTCCAACATTCTTTGAATATAATTTCTATTAAAAATGAACCCATCGACCATTGATTCGATGTTGTCATTACAATTTTGTAATGTAATAAGCATTTTGTATTTTGTCGCAGAAATTCTGTTTTTTTTTATAAATTTCATATTCTGGCTACGATAAAATGGTATCTCTCATCATATAACTACGTCATACGGACGTTTTAGATCTGCCAACCAAAGTAGTTTAGTGTCACTATTTTTACAAAGGCCGAAATTTTTGAAATTTCTTCCTGACGTTTCGCTGGCGCAAGTAGCTAGCTTCTTCAGAGGTTTATACATCCTGGGTGAATATCGGATATTCGGATATTCAGATCGGATATTCGCCCAGGATACTCTTTCTCAAAGTGGGCGATAACGCCCCCTTGTGGGCGCTGGATGCCTATAGGGGGGCAGTAAAGGGCACACAGAAGATCGGGGGGCGCTGAAGCAGTTTAGGGGGGCGATGGCTAATTTATAAATGTTTGTTTGCTTTTAACACAAACTTTACCGCTCCTTTACGCTTAACGCGCGTTTCCTCGTGTAACGCCATCTACGGGACTAGATAGTAACTATTTCTTGTCCGATAGTTGTTAAACTGTACAATAGATGGCGTTAAGCTTCAATGCGAAGCGAGAAGTTTCTAGTCTCCATTCTCGAAATTACTAGGCCCGCCCGCTGCCTCATATAAAAGCGCGCGCGCCATCCGGCCAGTAATGTCAAAAAACATTTTCGAATGAAGCGATGAAACCCTCAAGGCTACAAGATCATTTGAATAAAATGCATTCAGATAAAAAATACAAAAGTGTGACTTATTTTCAAGATAAAAAGACAAGAGTGTGACTTATTTTCAAGAACTGGAAAAGAAACACTCAGCTCAGCCAACTGTGTCAAAACTTTTTTCAGCGGCTTCTAACCAAGATGACGGCGGACTCCGAGCTTCCTACAATATCTCCTTGGTAATTGCTCAAACATTTAAACCTCACCCTATTGGAGAGTATTTAATTTTACCGGCAATAAAAGAAGTAATAACTATACTGTGCTCCATAAACCAGCGGCAGATATTATCCGAAAAATTCCTTTGAGCAATAGTTCCGTGCAATGACGAATTGATGAGATGGCTGAAAAGATTGAAGAGTCATTGTGTGATCATCTGAAGACTTCTAAATTCTAAATTCAGTTAGATGAGTGCACATTACCAACCAATGAAGCATTGTTGTTGCCATACGTGAGGTTTATTAAAAATGAGTCAAGAACTACTTTTTGCCAGAAATTTAGAGACCATTACAAAAGGAGAAACCATATATAATACACTGAAAAAATGTTGTGATGAGAATGAAATTCCACTGAAGAATATTATATCAGCTGCTACGGATGGCGCTCTGGCTATGACAGGACGTCACAAAGGCTTCATTGCGTACTCAAAAAATAAAATTCCAGATGTGTTCTCAGTACATTGCGTCATTCATAAGCAACATTTGGTTGCGAAAAATATGACCTCATCACTTCAAGGAATGGCATTGCGTACTTGACAGACCTGTATAAATTATTATTTAATGTTGTCAATCTCCAACTTCAAGGTGGCGACTTGAGTTTTGCAATTTCCCTAATTTGTCAGCAGTATCCTTCAACAACGACGACTTGCTTGTTTACTGCCAACATTTGGAGAACCTCCACAGTGACTTCGCAGAACGATTACAGGACATTTTAAAATTGGAAATACCAGACTGGGTGTTGGATTCTTTTTCAAATATCAACACAGCAGGATCACCCCAGCTGGAAGAAGAACTCATATAACTGATAACGAACGAGGAAAAAAAATAAAATTCAAAAATGGATACCAAGAATTTTGGCTACAAAAGCCAATTCCGCAATTGTACTCTGGATTGTGGTCCATCGTTCAACGATTTTCGATTGCATTCCCATCATCGTATTTGTGTGAACGTGGATGTAGTGCTATGGCGACGTTGCTAACTGAAAAGAGAAATCGGTTGCAGATTACCGAACGCGGTGACTTACGGATGTTTTGGGTAAATTCGAGGATTCGAGCCTGATATTAACAAACTTGTTAAAAATCATCAAATTCATTCTCCACATTAGATTAGTCTTAAAATTCAAATTGAAATGTTTGTTTCAATAACATGAATAAAAGTTTTCCCAATATTACAAAATGGTGTTAAAGTAAAAAAAAATGGGGGCGCTAGGAAATAATTAATTCTCGAAGTGGGCGGTAGACAAAATGAGTTTGAGAACCTCTGGCCCAGGTTTTCCCGGCCGAACTCGGCCGGGAAAATCTTAATCATTTTGCCAAGTAGTTCTACAACTACGCCTTATTATGGATATATGTAT